GGGTCGATGTCAGGCATTTCATAAGGCGTCCACGCGAACACCTCAATGTTTGTTCTCAAAAAAGCTTCCAGCTCTCTTTCTTCTTCTTCGGCTAAGCCCGAGCCAAGGAGAAAAAAGCGTTCTTCATCCCCCTCCTGAAGTGATTTTCTTCAGTGCCTCTTCGCTCTTCTCGGCTGGCTCCTTGCCGACGTCTTCTAGGACTTCCACGTCCTTATCTTCAATTTCTGCCTTTTTTGGCTCTCGTATGCTGCAGGTAGATTTCATTGTTGCCATAGAGCAATTGTTTGCCTGTAGCTGATCGCCTCTGACTTCTTCAATCCCATGTTCTGTTAGGAACCGCAATAGTTGATGCAATGTAGAGGGAACTGCCCCCATCGCATGCAACCATGGCCTTCCCAAGATGATGTTGTAAGGCAAGGAAATGTCGATGATGGTGAATTCTGTCTTGATCTTCCTGGTGCCAGCCTGCACCTCCAAGCTTACTGCTCCCAGTGGCCATGTCGGCGTTCCATTGAACCCAACTATCAGGCCATTGGATCGTTCCATATCATCTGGGTGAAGGCCGAGCTCCTTGTAACATCGGATGTACATGATGTCACAAGAGCTTCCTTGGTCAAGCAGGATGCGTTTCACCAAGTACTCCCTAACCTGGAGGGATACTACCAAGGCATCATTGTGCGGATGCTGGACCATCTCTAGGTCGGCTTCAGTAAAGGTTATCATTGGTCCCTGGCACTCTTCTGCCCGATGTTGTTTTTTCCCGACTTGGTAGACATGTTGTAGGTGTTTTATCTTCTGGGTCTCTCCTCGGATTTCGTTTTCGTTGACCTTCGAGTGGATTACGTTGATTACCCGAGGTCCTCCTGCCTGCGGCTGCTGTGCTGGGGAAGGTGGGACTGCTGGTGCCTGAGGCAATCTTGCCCGTTCCTCCCTTGTCCTGGTCCCATCGACAAGGTCTCTCAGATGTTCGTGTCTTACCAGGTCTTCCAAATATATTTTTAGGGCTCTATAACCTTGAGTTGTATGCCCATCTTCATTGTGGTAGGCACAATGCCTTCCAATGTTTCTTCCTATGAACTCTCCTAGAGTTCTCTCTAGCGTTCTGAAATAGGGCTGGTTCCGAATTTGATCTAGGACTTTGGGAATTGGGATTCGGAACACGATTGTTACTGCTTGTGTGGCCCTTAGTTCTGCCTCTTGCCTGCTCGTTCCATTATTACCTCGGTCTCGCTTCGGCGAGCCATTTCCTTTCTCTTACTTTATCTCCCTAGTTCCCGACGTGTCTTCTTCGGCTCTGGCGTACTTTTCGATTCTCGCCATGAGCTCCTCCATACATTTTGGCAATGTCTTTGCCAAAGACTTTCGTAGTGGACAGCTATCTTTCAAGCCGTTCTTGAAAGATACGACTGCCACCTATTGATTACATTCGGGTATTCGATTGAATACCTCATAGTATCTTTTTGCATAGGCGCTAAGGCCTTCATCCTTGCTGATCTTCAGAGCCATCAATGCGTCCACCCTTAATGGCTACAGCTTGTTTGTCACAAACCTGGCCACAAACATCTCGGTCAGGCCTTCCCAAGTCTTCACACTTCCCTTCGGTAGTTTGTGGAACCAATCTGATGCAATCTCCCCGAAGGATGAGGGGAACACTTTGCAGAGCAACGGCTCGTTCCCACTATATAATGCCATTGAGTTCAAATATAGTCCAATATAGAAGTTGGGGTCTGACTTACCATCGTATATTTGAAAACTCGACATACTGAGTCTCTTTGGCGCCTCAAATCTGTCTAATTCCACCGAGAATGGTGTCCTCGGTTTATCTGGGGAGGTTGCCTCGGCTTCGGCATTCTATTGCTTCCTCTTGAAGTAATCTCTTAAGTCTTCTTTGCTCCGCTCAGGAGCTCGGCTATCTTTCGACTTTAGTCTCTTCGGTATACTACTCTCGGCCTCGTGGTGAGCCCTTTTTGACCCTTCTCCATGAGTTATGTCGAAGCACAGTGCCTACTCCTGAACATGCCGATGTCCTTTGGGGTCTGCCTCTTTTGTGTGATGCGTCCTCCGTGATTCTTCTTTTCTTGATTCTCTTCGCCCGACTTCCCTAGAAGGTCGGTGGGTGTATCTTTCGCTCCCGTTATGCTGAGGGGCTACGGGGATTGTTTTTCATCCTCCCTTCTGGGCATTGGCCGCTGGAATCGGCGTGTCCTGCAGCGGGTACGGTGGCTGCATGACGTTATTTTGCATCATGAAATTGACGACCGACTGCAGGTCTACCAATTTGTTTGCCATCACTTTTACCTCTTCGTCCCTCCGTAGGCACCTATCTTTTCAAACATGGAGGTCGTCTTCGTTGTAATACCTGCTTTTATCAGGTTTTTTTGGTGCGTCGTTAGTCTGGCCGACGTCTTTCGCTCCGTGATTCTGGTCATGAGTTTCTACATTGCATTCGTCTCCTGTGATATCAAGGTCAATAGGTCTCTCACTCCCAGCAGGAGCGTCGTCCCCAATCTTTTCTTTCTGTCCGTCACTGGCCATTTATTCTACTTTCTTTCCCACAGACGACGCCAAATTATGTGAGTGATTTTCTGATCACATTGCCCGCCTAGTAATCAGCGGGAGAGCACTGGCAGAATAGATGGCTTCTAGCTAACTTGCAACAGAAAAAGAAGTCTCCGACGGTGGTTCGTCCACTCGGGGGCACTCCGGCGGTGGTCTTATCCCTTATCTCTTATCCGGTTATCTCAGATTCCAATATCTTCGGAGATAACCTCGGCCTAACCGAGATGACCTCGGCATAACGACTAGGACACGTGGCATCTCGGCTGACACGTCGGCGTCACCTTACTACGTGTTGGTACTTAGTAAATATATCCCCACACGTCATATACTTATTTATTTTATACTAAACTCTTGCCTAATATATATTCTTATAATATCGTCATGGTTTAATAATAAGGCTTCCAACGGTTAGGGATTCCTGGTTATCAAAAACATAATAATAATAGTAATAATAATAATTTAAGGATGATATATAGTTGTCAGGATTTCAAAATTCAAAGGTGAAGATCCTTTGAGAGATTCAAACTCAGCATTTTTTTAGTAGATGAACCAACTTGCAATGAGGAATATCTCTATCTCTATCTCTATCTCTATCAATATCTTCAACATGCCCACTCCCCAGAATAGGGGGTGGTTGTCAATTGTGTGACTTTCACATTTATTATAGGGTCAATGCCAGTATTCCTACGTACCCTTCTCTCTCTCTCTCTCTATATATATATATATATGTATATATATGTGTGTATGTCAACTTTCTCTTTCCAACTTGCCCAGTGGTGCTATACAATACACTACACCTTTCAGAAAAGAGGCAAGCTAGCTGTGTGTTACTCGAAAACCGCATCAACATGCATGTGATATTATTATTATGGATAAATTATATTGACATTCCTTATACTTTATGTTTATTATAGTTCATCTCTCATATTTGAAAAATTATATTGATCTCTCTGTTAATTTAATTTTATATATGATGATCATTACGGTGAGGGAGAAACTGTTATAAAATTTTAAATCTCATGAGGCAATCTATAATGAAACTTTAAACTTTAAGAAGAGGGATGTAATTTTCAAAAGGTGAAAGGAGAAACTATAATAAGCATAAACCTTAAAGGATGTCAATATAATTTACCCTATTATTATTGAGCAAAATCTTACTTGTCAAAAGTTTAAAATATTTACGTTGTATTTGGTTGAGAAATTTAGAATTTGAAAAAAAAAATTAAATAAAATATATTTCACAAACTTTTTTTCTTTTTTTTTTCAAAATCTTACTCAAATCTTTCGATCAAAGACAACATTAAAGGGAAAATTAACTTGGCAAACTCTTTTATCTCTACAAAAGTTGCTTCCACAAACGTTAAAAGAAAGAAACATTGTGTGGGATAAAGAAAGGAGCAAAATTTAAACAGCTCATAAACAAGTCAATTTCCGAGTATAATGTTATGATGGGTTGAAAATTCTATAATGAGAACACAATACATGGGAGGTGCTAATAGTAAACCTTGCATACGAGTGGTCCAGTTAGCTTTAACAATCAAATCTATGTTTGGTACAAGGCACTAATTTGTCTCATTCTCTACACTATTGCTTTCCAAAAACACCGAAGACTAGGGATGTTAAAAAAATTAAAAAAATTGATCAAACTAATTGAACATAATTAAACCGTCGTATGTGGTCTATTTTTTTTTTTTTATACAAGAATTGATCTGTGTAATTTTTTAATTTAATTTTCGATTCAGTATTAGTTTAAGCACATTCCGAACTAAATTAAAACCGACTACTTCAACATATATTGTATTTATAATATACATAATTTAATAATATAATGACATTAATAAATATAATAAATTACTAATCTCAATTAATTAACCTTATCATCCTTATAACCTAAATTAGTATATCCTGATTATATATAATCTTAACTAACTCATTTTTCTTGAAGTCTTAAAATTTATTATTAATTTTTGTTTAAGTTTTTGTTAATCTAAAAATTATAAAATATTTATTAAATGAATAAATATGATATATTAGAAATGATTGACAAATGAATAATTCAATATTTTTAAATAAATGAGCGATTATATTTAAAAATGACTTAAATTTAAAATATACTAAACTAATTAAACCATATCAAACCAAACCGTTTCAATTGGTACGGTTTGATAAAAAAAACAATTTATATTTATATCGACACTCAAAATAATAAAACCAATATCATTAATTCAATGAAACATTTTACCTAAATACCAATCATAGCAAACCCATACATCCTACCAAAGAGACTTATTAGGCCAATAAAGACTTCGAAAAAAACAACAAAAAAAAGGATTAAAAGCAAGTCAAGACTCAAGCACCATAGTTGTTATATATATAACAATTAACCTCATTTTTGTTTTAAAACATGTTTTCACACTCAACTCTCCTCAATTCAAATAATCTAAAACAAAAGACAAATAAATTGCAATCATCAAATCCTCATCCATAATAAGGGCAAGCTAGCAGCATCCAAGTTTATAGCCAAAAATTAAGTGCATAGAAATTATATATACAACCATCCAAAATGTTCATGAAAAGTGCAACAAAAAATAAAAATAAAAAATCAGTAGCGATCAAAAGATGGACGCCCTCCTCTCCTAGGGCGGTCATAAGGACCTGACCTATCACGGTAGCTTCTTCCCTCGTGACGTGATGGTCCTCCACCTCCATACCTGTCTCCACTCCCTCTTGGGCCTCCATCCCTATTATCATAGCTTCGGTCTTTCCCATACCCATTTTGAGGGTAACGGTCCGAAGCCCCATACCTATCCCCTGCAAAGCGTTCACTCAGTGGATACCTGCATTCAAGCAACAGTTATAAGTGAGGATTACAATTAAGAATAGCAGGACCTTTTAACCCAACACTCCAAACCAATATGAAACCATTGTTTGAAATCAAATGTTTAATCATTCCTTTGAGAAAGTCAGAATATAAGCAAAAGTTGGAACGTAGCAAACAAATGCTAACAGATTTGGGCCAAAAGGATTTGCAGTCCCTGGCCTTAACACTTGACCATATCGCCAAAAGGATACATGTTCCATATGTAAAACCTACAAAGCACGGATACGAACATCCGATACGACCCAGATACGATACGAAAATACCAACACACCAATTTTTAAAAAATGAAAGACATGACAAGTGGAGGACACGCTTAAAATATATAATTTTATATATTTATTATATGTTATATATATTAATATATCATTCAAAGATAATAAAAAAAATGCAAAATGACACTAATTCTAATAAATTTTTATAATTTTTGCTTTGTTATTGTATCTTAAGTTACTTTATTCAAAATTGTAATTAATTTCACCTGTGTTTAATTAGTAAACACGTGTGTTCTCCAAGTGTTCAAAGAGTATTTTGGTCTTAAAAAAAAAATTTAAAATGACACATTTTGAAAAGTGTCAGACAAGTGTCGGAAAAGTGTCCAAATAGTGTCAGTATCCGGCACAGACACGACACGAATACATTAAGAGCATCTCCAATACTCTCTTTTTGTCATTCTTAGAAGTATCCATACTTCTTAGTATAAAACACTAAGAGCATCTCCAATACTCTCTTTTTGTCATCAAATTTGAGAGAAATTTTAGTTAAAAGTTTGATATAATATAAAGCACTCCAATCTTTAGTTTACTCTATTTTAACAAATTTTTCTGGGTAAAAATGCAGGTGTTGCAAATTTGGTGGTTTGGTGAAAAAATAGCCTCCCTTGATTTGATACATACTTGATGAAATAATTGGAGCACAATTTTAGTAATTTTTTTTATCAAATTTTATTTTTGATAAAAGATTGAAGATGATCTAACATCCCCCACTCAATGAGATGAAAATACTTTTTATCTAACAATACCTGTCATCAACATGGCGATCGCGGCTCCCATATCTGTCTCTGCTCTCATAATGATCCCTATCCCCATAGCGCCCTCCATCATATCTGTCATCAATGTATCGACCACGATCTCCTCCAAATCGATCCCCACGACCTCCAAGCCCACCAAGTCTAGAATGAGAAGAGAATTGACCACCGCCTCGGCCACCACCAGCTGAAGGGCAATCACGGGCCCAGTGACCTGGGTGCCCACACTTGAAGCAGTCATCTTGACCTACAGACCTATCTCCACCCCCATAGCTGCCCCTGCCACCAGATGAGTAACCTCCACCGTAGCCATGGTCTAGATCCTCACCCCCCATTCTGGGTTGGGCCTTGTTCACTGAGATGGCACGATCGCCTAACTCCCTACCATGCATTTCCCTGATTGCATCTTCCATTCCCCGGCGGTCTGCAAATGTCAAAAACCCAAATCCACGAGGACGGCCAGTATCTCTTTCCACCATAATCTACATGAACACCACATTTGATAAACTGCTACCAGAAGATGATTTGAATACAAATAAATGAATTAACATTTACAAAAGTGAGATTACTGACAATTGACACATTTATGTTTAATGAATGATGAGCACTTGATGCTTAAAAATGTAAAAACACATGCCCTGTTTCAATCCAGTTTGAGATTGTTAGAAGCATTTAAGGACATAATTACACCTTGCAAGCAAAAACATTTGGTGGTAGAACATAACAATAACGAGAAACAAATCACTTGAGAAACAATCCAACGAGAAACTAACACCAGATCAGACCACACCACTAGATTGATACTGCTAGCTCATTTTTTAGGATGACTGTCATCATCAACCATTTCCTTTGGATAATTTGATCCCCATGCCTTCACCTCCACCATTGATGATGGCCATCTCTCTCATGCACATGCCAATGAGTCAATGACCATGAGGTCCCCAATCCAACACCACCTCTGCCTATGGAAACCAATCTCCATAACCGGTAACACATCGACCAAATCTACTACTGCAAAATCTGACCTCCCTCCGGCACTGGTTCTCACTCTCTCAAGTGCACAATGACACCAACAACTGCAATCCATCATTGTCTCCGACCCTAAACTCTGCAACCTGCGGACACATCCACCATCAGCACAATTCTGGGAAAATCTGATCTCTCTCTCTCTCTCTCATGCTGCACACACAAGCCAATAACCCACCACCACCTCTCCCACCTATGGCGGCCAACACAACCTCTATAGAGTGTGCTTATCCACCAAAATCACCTTCAATCCACTACTAGGACCAGCACGGCCCCTAAGCAAAACCACTACAGCCGCCATACATCCCTCCCATCTATCCTCAATTTTTTTAATTTATATATTTATTTGGACACGTTTCCAATAAATGTGATACTAGATGGGATAAGATGGGTATATGAAAGTAGATACATGACCAGCTAAAAAACAGACATTAACATGTGACATGACACGTCGACACTGGAATTTCAAAAACTGCAAGACACGACACATGGAGGACAAATTCAAAATATATATTTATACATATTAGTTATATGACATGTATAAGAATAAATAATTCTTATATCTTATATATGTGTATTTAATTCAAAAATGATAATTTTTAAAGTTTAGAGATGAATAAATATAAATTTACATAATTTTTCTGTTATTATTGATTATTTTATTCATAATGTGTTTCCCGCGTGTTTGAAGTATGCCCAAGTCCAGAAATTTTAAAAATAGGACATTTTTTAGACATATGTCTAACAAGTGTTAGGAAGTGTAGAGTCTTCTTTGAACTGCGTGTTTCTTAGGTGGCTAGAAAAATGAAGGGGCAATTCACGTGCATTTTTTTCTTTTAGATAGATGCATGTATTTTTAAGGTAGCTTATCTGTTGTCATGAGCACTTTCTATCTAGTTTTGTGTTACCAGAAAACACTAATACCCTAGCGAATTACGTATTGGTACATACGTTTTGAAAAAGTTACACTTTCATTCCAAAACAATAAATTTAGTGATCCGAAAAAGTTACACTTTCATTCCAAAACAATAAATTTAGTGATCCGAAGCAATCTCAAAAAAAAAAATTCAATATATTTCCTTAAATGTTACCTCAGGAGAGAGAGAGAGAAGAAAAAAAAATCAAATATAATAAACTAAAATCTAAGGTGAGTTAAATTTTGACAAGACAAAAATATCACAATCGGTAATAATGCTCATAGAAATGTTTTAATACATGAAAAAAAACTAATAAATAAATAAATAAAAATTAAATTTTATTGGATGTCTAATAGTTAAAAGAAAATTACTCTAGAAGTATTTTAAATTCTTAAGTATAATATATACAAGTCTAACCCTATCGTATCAGATTTTAAAGTACGTGGTGTCCCACGTTCCTATTCCATGTACCGGAATGATCCACATCCAGGTAACATATTTCTGGTTGGCCTTTCAATGTGGCCACATGATGTATGCTTTGAGATTTTTGGAATTATTTCAACAAACTTTTAAAAATAAAAAAAAAACAAATAAAAAATTAAATAAAAAAGTTTCAGCAAGATGGATTAGTTATCACTATGCTATCATATGTGCCTAAACTTGGTTGAGATAAGTTTCAGCAGATTAGTGTTGTAAGGATTTTAGTTTTTGCATACATCATGTATTGCAGATATTAAGCTGCAGGGGTGAAGTGCCCCAAAGGGCCTTACCTTGGGCCGGTTCCTTGTCATTAATAAAATGTATATATATAGGTTGCGCCTTGCCCCCTTTTGGTGCCCTTAATGAAAACTTATTTACTCCCCCCAAAAAAAATCCCCAGTCTATTCCCAAATTCCTAATTTTGGACTTGTACTCCAATAAGAATTAGGAATATTTTACATAATACTTTAATTCTATAGAGAAATCAATTTGGAGAACTTTCAAATAGCTTTATGAACTTTTGAAGGGTTATATATATCACGAATCCTAGGGAGCAAGCCTAAGGGATTATAAATTAGCTTCCTACAACACTTTCTTCTTCTTTCTTCAAACCTTCTATTTCGATCCAATTCTTTGATAATTCAATCAAAAGCCTACTTCTACAGACATAATCCTTTCTCTACTCTATAAGCTAAAAAAGCCATTACCCAAAATATTACCTAAACAGGTCACTGTTCAAGATTCGACAATTCCTTTCATAAATAATTCTAACAACCTATCACCCTCCATACCAAGCTTGTTCTAACCCTTATCATGCACAACTCCCAATACCTTTATTCACCATTAAAAATAAAAAATTATTAAAATTAAAACTCAATTGCAAAATATCAAAAATGATCATCATAAGCTTAGTAGTTTAAAGCTTGCAAAGAGAACCTAACTTAGACAAACATGTCATACCCGTACCAGGTACTTACCAATCATTTCATGAAATTTCTAAGGGGGCACAATAATTAAGATTTTGTAGTTAAATAAATAATCAAATTATGATTAAGTAAAAACAAGTATAGCATTCTAACTTTCGCGTTTAATCTAAATAAAGATCCTAAAGGCATAATACTTACGAAAAAAGAACCTAAAAAGCATAATGCTTTGAGAAAGCTTTATGTATAAGAATTTGTGGGACAGCATGTGGATAAGAATTCTTACTCAAAATGGTAGAATCAACAGAACTGCACAATCCAAGGCCGGTCGCAAATATCGGATGAAACCAAACTCATATGTATCTAATCTCTCTGAAAGCAACTATAAGATGCCACGTGATCCGAATTTCAAGTGATTACACTCTAATTACTTTACTTGTCCTTGCCAACAATCCATTTAACCTCAATCACAGACTTGCTAGTAAAACATACTGTCGACAATAGGAGGTAGAACCCATCCTACAATTGAGTACCAATGCTGACAAAGGAAGAAATAACACATAGAGACATCTGGCTAGACGACAACTCCATGACAGAATCTTTCCTTGCAAATATAAAGCTTATAATTATCACACTAACAATTAGGACATACATATGTAACATTCTCTAATCTCCATCATCATATATATTCATTCAAATACTATACCCAAACATTTCAACATGTTTCTGCTGCCTGTCTCCTCTGGCACCTCATCAAAACGGTTGAGACCATAAGAATCAGCTAGAAACCTACTAATGAAATGATGACTTTGTCCATATCGTCACTTGAATATACAGAACTGAATCAAGACAAACTTCCAAAAAATGAACTTCTACTCGTAAGCACCTTCACAGAACATATCTACATCCACTTCCATATAAATTAATAAGGCGAAAGCAAAATTCAAATTTTAACGCACAAAGAACTGAATCTTAGTACACACGTCACCAGATGATCATAAGCATTTCAGGTGACCACACCTCTGAGAAAAACACTCTCAAAAGACAGAATAAGTGTGAAGAAAAAGTATAACTAGGCTCAGTTGCAAGCATCCAGAATCCAGATTAAAACAGATAGAGTGCTCTACGGGGCCAAAGCAAAATCATTCCCCTGCAAACTTCCATTCTTTAAGTTCTTATCTCAATCCAACCACTGTCGGCACCAACTTGCAACTACTAAAAAGTGACATGAACTTAGGAGTAGCAGAGAGTGTACTGACTTTTTCTGCGCCATTAAAATGCAACTTTGTTAAACCTTAGTGGTAATAGAAATTCCAATGATTCAAATATTTCATAGCCAGCCCCAGGGCTCCTCAGGCACAAGCCAAGATGATTATGTAGCTTAAAAATTCCCAGATATGGAGACATGCAACGAAACGGTTGCCACACCAGCTTTGATGCAACTGCAACTTGTACAAGTGTTCTAAAATAACTTTTGACAGGCATCTTGTTAAACAGGACAGAGGATTCACGCCATTGTACTGATATCTAAAAGCAGCAACAACATATAACCAGTCATATTTTCCAGCAACATCAAGAAGTGCTATCTTAGTTCTACAAAATTGTTAGGGATCTGGAAAAATAGTTAGTTCAAAAGAAAAATCTCCCAGACAGTAATGAAAATCAGGAACCTCAGTAATCAAGGGAAAAAATGGTTGAAAACAAATTGCCAAAAATAACAAAATGCTTTCATGCACCCAAAAGAAAACACTTGCATCTTCAAGCAGTTAGTGTCTGAGATTTCTCCAGACCATGGGACCAATGCGAACAGTGTCTCTTCTGAAATCAAAAATCAAAAAGCAACTGGATGTTTCTTGAATTCTTTTTCGACCGATGGCTAAGGAAAGACACACATAGGTACTTGTTATTTAACACAGTGTGGAACTGGTTAAATCAACAAGACAGACAATGTAGCAGACTTGAAGAAGATCCCATGAACATGTTACAGCATAGGACACCTTCATAGCACTAAATAAACCCTTCAGATTCTGTGAGAAAAGAAAATATGTCATGGTCTACCACTACAGATCCACATCCATGAAGCAACCAATCACAGACACTGTCAAGAATTCTTTTTTGCAGTAACCATATAGAATCTCCACCACTGGGTTTGTCTTGCAATTGAAAATTATTGTGTATTCAAACTTGTTTCTTCAAATGATTGATGGTGCCATGTATCCAGATCAAGTACGAATCAATTGAAACTCTTCAATTCCTCGATCATATAATCCAGACTAAAAAATTGTAAATGAAAAACAATGGACTTTAACAATAAAAAAGAAAATCTCGTTAAAGATTGCTACATCATGTGACTTGTCGATTATTGAAACTTCCCAATACTGGACCCATCTAAAATGCATGATCAAGATTCTCTCGAGGATCTCAAAACACGGCTCTTTTTAGATATGGACCCTTTTAAACAAGCAGCATATTTGATTAACCATGCATTCACTACTGCCTTCAAATACCAAGCTACACATTCAGAGAAATTTCTTTATGTGAATACTTCTAGGGATGAGAATCTCCACACAACCAACTGACATAATTTAAGCACACAAATGATATAGAGCTTCAGCAACTCAATGCAATCCAACTGTACCAAAACTTCCTCACTAATTCCATCTAAAGGCATCTTAAAGATCACAATCAGCATCACAGGAAAGATCACAAACAAAAAACAGAAAACAAAAATAGAATCAATACGTGATGAGGAAAAGAAGAGATAAGATTGAAGAAATACAACAGAGAACCTACAATAATATCATTATAATATGGAAAACACATCCAAACTATAAAATGGTCAAAAACATTTGCCAATAACCCAATAATATAGGCACTTCATCAGCATAAATCAATGACAGAACAAATTTTACCAAGCAGTTCATCTTCCCCTTTTATAAAAGGGGTAATAAGTGACAGTGTCATAAGAAAACTGATACCTGAGCATTAGTTAAAACAGTAAACAATGTGTCATGTCTATTCAAATATTTCTTATTGTCTATCGATTCCTAACAAAAAGGAACAATTTTAGTAGAAAGCCCGTCTTTCTTCTTTCTTTCTTTCTTTCTTTCTTTTTTTTTCTTTTTTTTTTTTCTTTTTTTTAAAATGAAATTGTTTTTGTGTTAGTTCATATTGTACAATTCTTTTCTTTGTGGGATATCTTCAAAGGCAAAAGGGGTACGCAAAATTTGTACCAGTTACTACTTGAGGCTTACAATTTCTATCCGAAATGTTATATTTAAAAGACTATGAGAATGGAGGAAACTATAAGTAACAATCTCAAATTAGAATACATGTCTGCTTTGCAAAATAAATATAGACAACTATTCAAGGATTGTGCATGGAAATAACAAACCAAACATCACACAAATCACTTGAGCATTGGATGAATGCATCAAAGGTGGTTAAAATTAAAGGACGTGGGGGAGGGGTAATGACCTCAAGTAGACCTTGGTGGCTTAGTGTGAATTTGAGCCATCAACAACTATGATCAAAATAATGTTTAGTTGGCATCATGTTTTATAACCACTTAAAATCTACAAATCACCATGAAATGAAACCCTTTCCAAATCCACATAAACAAAGAAAAGAAAATACAGGCATACTTGAAAAGATAACAAAAACAAAATAACTAGGAAATTAAAATGAATAGTATAGCCCCCACTCAACGGAGCCCGATACTTCTCAGTTTCTCAATCACCAATAACAACAATAAGCACACAGATTCACCAAAATTTCAGTTTATCCTTATTTCCCTTCTCTTCTTTCTGAGGAACCAAACAGAAAAAAAAACAGAAAAACGGAGAAGAAGCCGAACCTGAGAATCAATAATTTTGCCGAAACGACTGAAAGCGTCTTCAAGCTGACGCTCACTGACGTCCCAAGCCAACCCTCCAACGAATATACGGTTCTCCAGTTCCTTTCCTGCCATATCTATCTTTTCTTTTTACACAAGTCCAAACAAAATCCTGTACAGAAAAATTACCCAAAAAAAAAAAGTGTCACGGAAATTGGAAATTGAAAACCCTAGAATTCAATCATTGGAAACAATCGCAAAACAAACAAACCAAGACAAAGCAAAACCCTAGAAAGATCAGTTTTTGGTGGGGGGAGAGAATTAGAGAGTAGAGAGAAGATTGCTTACAGTGAGTCGGTGGTTGTAGTTGTAGGGTTAGGTTGGTGCTCGTTGGGTTGCTGTGGTCTCTAAGAAAGTAAGAACAGTAGGGGAGAGAGTGAATGCGGGATATGAGGTTACGGGCTAAAAATAGTAAACCCTAGACCCAACTTAACCTTCTTATGGGGTGTTTGGAAAGTGAAAATTTTTTTTAACTAAAATTTATTAGAGTAAATTATAAATATATTTTTTGAGGTTGGATTAAAGAGTGGTATTATTAGCACTTTATAAATTATTTTAGACTTTTCATTTAGGATTCTCACTTATAAATTTTGAAATCTTTAAAGCTTTTTTCTCCCCTCAAATAATATCAAAATTATCCTTAAACATTTCATTCATTGTACAACCCTACATCCCCAAAAGAATCTTCCTTCCAAAAAAACCCTAGCAAAACTCATTAAAAAGAAGAAGAGTCCAAAACCTACGAAAAAGAATATTGTCTCTGCCGATTTAACCAACTACCCATATGATATTTTTCATTGTTCTCAAATCCAAACTCTTGATTTTAGCCACAACAATCTTTTAGGAGATGTTCCAATACAAACTTGTCTATGGTTGTCACCAACCTTACATATCTTAACCTATCATACAATCATTTTTCAGAGATTAAAATCTTCGATTCTCAGTTCTTAAAACGGTTCAATTCTTTGAGTTTTCTTCATTCTGGACTCATCTCATATCACAAAAAGTTCAAAATCAATGTTCGATTACCGATTCCTAAACAAATAAACAATGTTCATGTCTGTATTCCGGAATTTCGATTATATGTTCGGGAGTTCAGTCTTGAAAAAATGACGAATATATTTTATTATTTTTGCCCTTTTTTTTACAAGAAATTTACCTTTACAAGGCCAATCTCCTCTGAGTTAAGAACAACATCAAAGTTATGAACCTCCTCTAAGATTTTATTGTTGTACTCCTGTCATCTTATGGAGTTGTGGTTGTCAAAAAAAAATTTCACTCATTGTCATAGTCGGAAAAGTGTAGGTAATCAAATGGTTGTCATCGTTACTGCTGAAATATTGCTGCCAAAGGGTTTTCAAGGTTTTGAGGGTGGGTAGATTGTGAATGTGAGATTTGGGAAAGATGGATAGTGAGGGAGACGGGTGCTCTCATAAACCCTAATTCATGATGTAGTGGGTGTGTAGGTTTAATTGTGAGATGGGGTGTTCCAAAATTAATGATATCCTTTGTAGTAATTTTATTTGAGGTTATTATTGTAATTAAAAAAAGCTAAAAATTGGAGGGTCCAAAATAATTTATGGGGTGCTAATAGCAGCACTCTTGATTAAAATATGAATCACCTCTTGTGGTTCTGAAAATTATATTTCACCCCAGAGATTTTTAATTTCATAACAAATCATTCATTTTATTAATAAATTATGAAGTCAATTAACAATTTTTAATGATATTAGAAATATATTTGAATTAATAATTTAGGTAATTTTATTATTATATACGAGAACAATTATGAATTTAATTTTTTTAATTAATTCTGATAAATAAAATTTTTTGAAAAGAGGATATTTGTAATTTTTCAATTCACAAGGGGGCAATCTATATTTCAAGCAAATCTCAAGGGTTGTATTTGTAATTTACCATATTTATTAAAAATAAAATAAAATAGATTAAAATAATTAATGAGATAAAATATCACATTAAATATATCATCATTTTACTCTCTTTTTTCTCTCACAAATATCATATTAAACTACCAAAAAAAAAAATCTAACTCTCTTCTCAAATATAAATATTTTAGCATACAAAAATAATCAAAAACTAAAATAATCAACTTTCCAAATGAGGCCTATGTTTTGAAAGTTTGCTTATTAGAGCATGTCCAATCCTTTCCCACATTTTTTTATCAAATTTAAATTTAATGAAACACGTCTACTTTTTCTATTCTAATCATGACATTAAACCCATATCAAATAAAAGGGAAGTGTAACACCCCCAAATCATTTAGTGTAAAACATTAAGTAAAATATGATTAAACTCAAAAGATCCTCTTTCTCATTGAATTAAGATTTCCTTTCACAGTTCCGTGTTAAACAAATCAAATACATTTTTCATATGGCATGGTTCACCAAGTCAGAGAATACAAGCAAGATGCCTTAACGACTTACAACAATTCAAGGCATAACCTTGTTACAACAACAATAGACTCATGGTCCGAAACAAACAAGCTCAGAGCTTTCACATTAAACATCCATGAGCCTCGGTACTCCAATCAACACAAAAGAGTGTACTCCTTTTCACAGAGGTAGTGGCACATCACCAATTCCTAAAAATGTTATATAAGGATGAGTTATGTGCTTAGAATAGATACATTTAACAGAATATTTAATTATTTAAACATCCACATGGAATTATCATAATCCAAAACACAATTTAAAGTTTATGTTCAAAATTAAAGAGGACAAGAAAACAATTTCCTTTTTTGTTCCACTTGAAAACCTTTCTCAACACCAAGGTAGCAAATATGTCATGAATCTCTCGTAGGAGCCCCATATTACATATACATAGATTTATAACCAAAACTATCCACACATTTGCGACTATTAATACAACGGGTGGTGGGCACTCAAAATCATCCATTTTTTCACTTTTGTTGACTATTATACAGTAGGACGATTGGACACTAAAAAATATTTTCCTACATTCAACCGATAATTAGCTCAAGATAGGGCATTTGGGCACCTAAACTCCCCGCGCGGGTATCAACACAACACATCATTCTCAAAAACCTACCTAAACTCATGCACTATTTACCTCCCAATTTTTATCATTTTCCAAGTAACTAAGCTTTCATAATTACATGAGATATATAGTAAAATATATAATACATGGGTTAGCAATTCCCACATCCACGAATCCCAATACAACATACATTAATAATATACTCCAAAATCTAATTATCCACTTTTATGTGTTTAACACCCATTAAATTTCAAGCTTTGAAAGTTAATTCCATACGAACATCATTTTTCATCAAAATCAAAACTAGGGTTTTAATAAATTTGGGGCTTTTACTCCCTCTTCATATAGATGATAGTTCTCCACATCAACATTAATAATCCATAAGAGTTTATTTGAAATCTTGATAAAAATTTAGGTAAAATTCCTTTTGTCAAACATAAAACTCAATTTCTTACTTAATCATCGGAATAAAGTATTATGATCACAACAATACCATATAATCATCCTCAAATAAAGAGATACTAGGTTAAAAGCAACCTTACCTCAAGAAAAGACCCGAACTTGCCGCTAGAGGTTTAGGCTGTGACCGGCCAGTGATCTTAGATTAC